CCCGGAGTGCCGTGTGGGAAGGGGGGAGGCCTGGCGAGGGCGGGGGGCGTTTCCCCCTCAGTGGGGAGGTGGGGTGCTGCTCCCCCCCCGCCCCCCTGGTGCTGCCTGAGGGCAGGGGCTCTCAGCTGGAGGTGGGGGTGGGGGTGCCCTGCCCGCGCAGGGCTGGACTGCCGCTCTGCAGCGCTGTGGGACTAAGCCGGGGGCTGGGCAGGTGGCTGGAGGGGGGCCTGTGCTGCGGGCTTGGGGGTGCCCTGCTGTGCGAGGGGGCAGCGGGCGTTTGCAGGCTGTGTGTGGGTACAGAGAGTGTGTGCCAGGGAGGTGGCGTCCCCAGGGATGCCTCTGTCATTGCTGGCAGCGACAGGGCCCCGGTTCCCTTGACCTGGGTGAGCGTACTCCAGCAGGGAACCGGAGCCTGCCCGGTACTTCCGTGCCACGGGTGCGTGAGGGTCTGATTCAGCAAATGAATAGCTGAGTGCTGTGCTGTATCGAGTGTACAACTCGGATGCGAATTTCACTTCTGGTTTCTTGTTAGCAAGAGACGGAGGTGCAGCCAGAGCTCAGCTTCAGAGTGAAAGGCAGGGGTAAGTGATCCAGTTGTGGAGCAGGGCATATGAAGTTATTGGCTGGGGTGGTGTGCTACCCTGTTAGCAAAGGGAGAAGGTTTGAGAATAGGGTGGAGATGGACTTGTAATCCGCACTGGACGAGGATCCTCACTTCAGGTTGCTTGCGATTTGCATGATCTCTTTCCTCTTTCTGTCTCCCAGGAACAGCAGCCCAGTTGGACAGATGACTTACCATCCTGCCATCTCTCTGGGGTGGGCTCAGCTCCAAACCGTTCCTACAGTGCAGATGGCAAGGGGACAGAGGGTCACCCCTTGGAAGATAACTGGTTAAAATTCAGGTAAGTGAGTTGCACCTGTGATGCAGACTCCTGCAGACACGAGGGCAGATAAAAGTGGTATTTAGTTTGTCACACAGAACTCAGAAGAAGAGGGTGGGGCGTGAGCATGCAGGAGGTGTCTGGAGGAACTTGTTACGTATGTCTGTGTTCACAGGCATCTGTGACCTCTTTGCTTCTGCCTTCTTTGACAGGAGTGAGAACAACTGCTACCTCTATGGTGTCTTCAATGGCTATGATGGCAACCGAGTCACCAACTTTGTGGGTCAGAGGCTTTCTGCAGAATTGCTGCTGGGCCAGCTGCACGCAGATCACAGTGATGCTGATGTGCGTCGAGTTCTGCTACAGGTAATGAAGTTTTGGCTGGGAACAGCTTCTGCTTCTCACACTATCCACCTACTCTTTTGCCACCAGAGAAGCAGCATCGGGTTTCTGTGGGGCTTGGAAACATCTGCCAGTGGTTGCAATCGCACTCATCCTGAGCAGCTGTAGTGCTTTGTTTCACTCCCACTTCATTCCCATCTGTCCCCCTGGCTCTGTCAGCACAGTGCTGCGATCTCTCCAGGAAGCTGCAGCTGGTCTTCACTGGACATGTAGGAACAAATGAGCTTGTGAAGGAGATGACAATGAGTGAATGGGGGAACTTAATGTATGGGGAGATGGATTTGTGAGTGCGCTTTCTTGAGTGTTAGACAAGTTCTTACAATCAACACAGAAAATCAAATAGGTCTCTGACATTGCTTTGAACGTAATTTTTATAGTTTTGTCTCCTGTTTTGAGTAGTTGCAGATTGTTTTTACAAGCTGTTAACTAATTGCGCTAAAATAATTGTGTTTCCATGTGATACAGCAGTCTTTGAATGTCTGTATGTACTGTGATCAACCACTATAAGCCAGTTTTAGGGAGGTGTTGATGGGTAGTCTCAAAGGTCTGTACGTATTGGATAAGAACTTAGTTTCTCTTTATGGCCTTTTTTAGGCTTTTGATGTGGTAGAAAGAAGTTTCTTGGAGTCCATTGATGATGCCTTGGCAGAGAAGGCCAGCTTGCAGTCCCAGCTGCCAGAGGTAATGTAGCCTTAAGAACAGAGATTGCTGGAGGTCCCACCTTCTAGATTGCTGGATGAGGTTTGGGCATATTCGTCAGCCTAGTACAAGGGAGGCTGTAATTGAAAATTATTTCTCTGTGATTCTCTTCTGGGAGCTTGTGTGAAGTGAAGCAAGTGTCGTGGTCCATCTCCCAGAGTTACTGGTACTACTTAGACTCATCATTGGTTATCTTGGTAAGGAACTGAACACATCATGGAGAGCAGTTCAGCCTGTGTATGTGGCTCTTCCAGGACAAAACCGTGTGATGGAAATGAGAGGCCTCAGATTTGTCTGGCATCTGGGCAGATGTGGATTCTGTTCTTCAGGTGAACTGGACTGTTGTCTCCAGAACCTTGTTGGAGCCATGTCATTTGTTAGGATTGAACAAATAATTGTACATCTTGCACAGTCTCGGCATGAGGCTAAGACATGCCGAGATTTATCCCCTCCCTACAGAATTTTGATTCTAGCTGTGGTTTCTATGTTGTGGGACTGTGTGTTTAAGCTTCCCTCTCATTTTGGGTTCCAGGGTGTCCCTCACCACCAGCTGCCTCCTCAGTACCAGAAGATAGTGGAGAGATTGAAGGCTGTAGAGCAGGAGATCTCTGGAGGAGCCATGGCTATTGTGGCTGTTGTTCTCAACAACAAGCTCTATATCGCCAATGTGGGTGAGTTGGTTTTTGTCAGCAGCTCAGTCTAAGTGTTTCTGAGGATGGCTGCGGTTCTAGGAAGTGAAAGAAATTTGAACGTAGGGGACAGTTTCTTTGGTCTGTGGCCAAGCAGTGATATGCTTGTTACTTACAGGAGCACTTGGAATCAGCCTGGCTCTTTATCTCTGCAGATGTTGGCTGATGAGATGTATATGACCAAAGAAAAGAGGGAAAATGGGTTGAGAGGCAGTAGTGCAAGTTCACTGAGAAATGGAGAGCTTTCTTGTGAGGTACCGGCTCAGGCCTGGATGAAGAGCTGCCTAGCAGGCCTTGTATGCTGCCAGCAAGGCTACTTTTTGGAGATCATGATGAGACAGTACATGAGCTTTTCTCTTCTTTTCTGTCTTTATTCCCTGCTCCTATTCCTTTTCCATTTGGATATGTTCTCCCTCTTAATGGCAGAGCTATCTGGTGCCTCATCTTCCTGCTCCCACTGCAGGTACCAATCGGGCACTGTTATGCAAGTCCACGGTGGATGGGCTGCAGGTGACTCAGCTCAATGTGGACCATACCACAGAGAATGAGGATGAACTTTTTCGCTTCTCTCAGCTGGGTGAGTGTTGAGTTTCATGTTCTTATCTGAGAACGTCGTATGCCTCTGTTTATCTGGGGCACCAGGCATGACTCAAGTCGCTGGAAATAATAAATGACCACAGCAAGCAGCTTACTGTGGTTTCAAATGACAAGTTCCATGCCTGCTTTCTAGCCATTGTGAGGCTACAGAGTGATTAAGTTCAGCTCACTGAACCAACAGAAAACTATCTTTTTTTTTTCTTTTTTTTTTTTTCCAAGTTATGAGAGTTAGTTTTGTGTTTGCTGCCAAACTGACATTGATTTGCCCTCCAGCTGTTTGATTGCTGGAGTCCATAGGAAGGCAGGAGTAGAAGCATACAGCCAGAGGGTAGAAATGGAATGGATAGTATATAACTGTTCCTTTAGAGGCAAACCATGGTTGTGCTGGGTTAAGTTTTGTGTGATGCTGCACCCTCGGGATGGTGTGTTTCAATATGCCTTTGTACAAGCTGCTTCTGCCAAAAAAAAAACCAAACAGCTATGCTTCAGACAGAGCCAGGCCAAGCACTGGCATCTACTGCTCTCACATCAGTAACTATTGAACCTTTAATGTGGACATTTTGCTTTAGGCAACGTCCCTTTTCCTTTGCAGTGTTTGACATGTTTTCTTTCTTTGTCTAGAACTAGCCCAGGCCACTTGTGTGATTGCTAGTACTGAATTCTTCTTATTGAGATACTTATGTTCTGTACCTTTGTTTTGGTAGATCTAACTTGGCATTCTTCATTAGATTCACCTGGTAGATATAGTCTTAACTGATGAGGTACCTGGTGAGGCTGTTGATGTGGTAACTTTCTGCTGGGTCTTGTTTCATTCCATTTCTCTTCCTTTTTTACTCATACTCCTGCAGTAGTGTTATGCGGTGTGAAACAGAAGACTAAATACAAGAATCCAGGGAAAG